GAGAGGCTGTGGAGTCTCCTGCTCTGGAGAGATCCCCAACCCTCCTGGCTGTGACCCTGCTGACCTGGAGCAGGGGAGTTGGATGAGATGATCTCCAGAGGTCCCTTCCAGCCCCCATGATTCTGCAATTTGGTGATTTCTCCTTGTGCTCCTGTTACTTTCATTGCTCTGCCCAGTTTGCATGGACCAGATGTTGCAGAGGCTCTTTGTTTTAACACCTTGATCCAAGACAACTTCTCTGCAGTCCTCCTGCAGTAAAGGTGATGGTTCAGGGCAGTGAAACTTCATTCAGCAGGTGTCTCACACTGCCTGCAGCACCTGGTTTAGTGCTTGGTGTGTGGATCCAGCCCCAGGGACACTCTCCCCACAGCTCCCCTTTCAAACAGAAGGAATTTTGCTGGGTGTGTTTTGAGCATGCTCAGAGTAGCTGCTTCTGTTTCTTTTGAAGGATAACGGTCACGTTCAACATCAACAACAGCATCCCCCCCTCAGCTGATGATGAGGCACCAGAAGAGCAGAAACCTGATGAGCAGGAGGTAACTCAGTCTGGACGTGCCCTTCAGGGATGGGTACACAGTGGGAAGTGGGAACCTTGCCCTTGAGGGTTTTTTTTATCCCTCTCTCACTTGATATTTGGGAGCCCTAAGTCACAAAATGCAGATTTTTCTGGGTTGTCAGGGGGTGAGGGAAGTTTGGGTTGCCCTGGCTGGGTCAGGGGCTCCAGAGAAAGGGTGTTGGAACAACCTCTGCTGGACAGGCCGTGGTGCTGGGCTGCACTCTCCTCACTTTGCCTCCTATTCAGACTCCAGAGCTGATGCAGCTTTTCTCTTTATTTAGCCTGATTTGACATCAACTCCAAACTTTGTCGTGGAAGTGATCAAAGATGACACAAAGCAGACTCTTGTCCTTGACTGCCATTATCCTGAAGATGAGGTGGGTATCTGTGACCCCCTGTGTGTTCCCTGCTCGACTGGAGCACCTCAGTAACTTGCAGACTTCCCTGTGAGGTGCCACAGGGAGAAACAGGGATTAAAAATAAAGGAGGGAGAAAAAAATGGAGAGCTTTGGTTTGCACTTCTGGCCGTGGTGAAGCACAGCAGATGATTTGTGTGGCCAGTCCTAGCACTCAGATGAGTGCTGGAGGCAGATTCAGAACCACAGGGGAGAGGTTTTCACATCTGGGTGAAAATGGAGCTGCTGGCTTGCCTCAGGTCCCTCCTGGCAGTGAGAAGGTGGTAGCCTGACCTCAGGGGATCTCCTGTGTGCTCCTGTGTGTCTCTGCAGGCACACACTGAGGGCAGAGGCACCCCTGGCTGTAGTACCAGGGTTCTCCTGGCTTTGGGATGAGATGGGTGAAGTAGTGAGAACTTATTTAACATCTTGTCTCCTGTCCCAGGTTGGACATGAGGGAGAGGAGGAGAGTGACATTTTCACAATCAGGGAGGTGAGTTTTCAGCCCACTGGAGAGTCAGACTGGAAGGACACCAACTACACCCTCAACACAGATTCCCTGGACTGGGTGAGTGCAGCCTGTCTCCCCCACCTCTGCCTGCTCCCCAATTCCAAACCAGGGCTGTTTCCATAGGGCTGAAAACTAGTGAGCCCAAGAATCTGGCATCTGCTTATAGTTCTCAGTGCCAGGCTTTCAAAAGCTTAAATCTTAGTTAGATTTGTCATGTGTATCATATGATTAAAACTCCTGGCATGCATCACTCACTGAGAAGCCTTCAGGTTAAAATTGGGCAGAGTGCTCTACACCATCCCCCTACTTGGTTTTTTTTCTGTGACCTGAGACAGAAAATGAATTAACAATATATGATTTATCATGTATTTGATTCCATAAGTCCAAAATGAATCAGTTGTTCAGTAGTGCTGGTCCATAACAGGAACAAACCCCCAAAAAATCAAGCAGGAGCTGCAGGATGGGTATTGGCCTCACTGCACTGAGCAGCAGCAATGAGCCTGCACTGAGGATCAGGGGAGGAACCCACAAGCATTAACATCTGCTGGGAGTTGCAACAGAGAAGTGAGATTAAAAAGGAAAATAAATCTTTTTCTGAAGTGATTGTAGCAGCCTTTCAGATAAAGACTTGGATCAGATCCCACCCTCCCCAGCCACAGTCCAGGCAGTTCCCAGCAAGGCTGCAGCCCTGCAGAGAGGACACAGACGTGCTGGGTGGAGTCTTGGGGAGCCTTTATCTGCTGGCTGCTGCAGGGTTAGCTCCAGGCTGCAGCTCCTTTGGGTTGGGGTTTGTAGGATCAAGTTTGGATGACCTGTTTCTTGGCCCCTTCCTTCCAGCTGTTACACCCCACAGCCAGGCCTGCTGAGAAAGGGGATTGGGGAGCTGCCTGCTCTCCTGGGGGAGGTGGGCTTCAAGTGCCAGCTGCCAAGGGGCACTTTAAAAGCAGCCCCTGCCCAGGCACCCTCTGCTAAGGGAGTTTCCTGTTCATTGCTTCCAGGCTCTGTATGATCACTTGATGGATTTCCTGGCTGACCGAGGGGTGGACAACACATTTGCTGATGAGTTAATAGAGCTCAGCACTGCACTGGAGCACCAGGAGTACATTAAATTCCTTGAAGACCTTAAAAGCTTTGTCAAATGTCAGTAGGTGAGGGTAGGAAACTACCTTGATCTTCACAAGTGGGTATTCTACAGCAGTGTTGTGGAGTACTGCAGGGAATTGCTGGCTCCATCCAGCAATACCCAGCTAGATCTTGACAAGAGGCAGGGGAAGCAAACCTGAATTTGAGGACAGGAGAAGGAAGGTTCTCACTTGTTCTTGGTGATGTGTATTTATGTTGCAGCCCAGATCAAGTTCTCTACCACAATGGTCCAGAATTGCCTCCCCCCTACTTGGTGGCTTTTGTACAATTAAGGATGAATGTGAAGAATAAACTCTGTTCAACATATCACTGAAAGCTGGTGGTGTCTCTTCTTCTTGCAGTACCACTGCTGGGGGGCTGGTGACACCTCTTAGAAGACTTAGACAGAATTTAGGGTCTGGAACCTTGCCTTTGAGGAGCTGTTTTAAAGCAAAAGCTCTGCCAGAATGTAGCACTGATGTAGCTTTTCTGGAAAGAAGCTGCAGAGGGGCTGCAGAGCCCCAGTTACAGCTCCAAGGCTGTGGCTGCTGAGCTCAGGGGCACAGAGCTCAACCCTGCCTCTCCAGCTGCCTGATACTAAGTTGAAAACAGAAACCACAGGTGAAGCTCCCAGTGTGAGCCCTGGTGCCTTGTTACAGACAACAGCAAGGCTGAAATTAATGAAGTGTTTTTATTTCAGAACGTATCCTGTGCCATGAAAAGTGCAGGTCAAGGCAGGACTGCTGCCTTTTCAAGTAGCTTCTTGACACAGTGGTTACAAGTATATACATAAAAATACTAGCAGCTCTGGGCAGATTTTCAGTCTTGAAGTCCTTCCAGTAAAAAACAAAGCAGCAGCTGAGTCAGCTTACAGGAGAATCACCCAGGAGTCACAGACCTTTATGAAAGAGAAGTTGAATGAGAGAAGCTCTAGCAATGTACAAAATGAATTATGGGTGTTCAGAACTCTTGGCAATGCTCTGCTCTTAACACTGGCCTCACAGGGATTTTATGTTTGCAGCAAACCAAGCCCTTGCTAGCTCTAGCTTGAGCCAGAGGTGTGGAATGTGTTTTCTAAGAGCTAGGGATGAGCCTCCTAAGGAGGCTTACACTGGGGTAATCTGTCAACCTTCTCTTCATGAACCACTTACCTGATGAGACCTGACTAAGGTGTGAGAAAAGCAAAGCACTAAACTGGACAGGTCCTTCAAGACTCCCTGGTGCAGCAGTTGAGGGAAGTTGGGTGGTCTGGCTCTTCCTTCTACAGTTACTGGTCGGCAAAAGCAAAACCCTTTCCAGGGGCGTTTGTGGAAGAAGAGCAAGACAAAGCCCTGGGATCTGTGTGTGGACTTGTGTAAGTGAGAAGCAGAGGCAGGTTTCCAGGAAGCTGAGGGGGAGACTCACTGGGCAGCTCATGAGGAGACTGGTTTCCTCCTCCATCCCACTGGTCACTGTGAACTCGGGGCTGTGTGAGCACCGCTGCCCGTGCTCCGTTACACTGCTCTCCAGAAGAGACCGAAGCTTCCCTTCTGTCATACCCTGAGAAAAAAGGGGGTGAAAGGAATCTTCACTGGCTCTTTGAGTCTTAAAAACTGCCTCTCTGCAGCAGCAGCAGCAGCCACAAGATGTCAGATTTGACCCCTTACCTGCGTGCTGATGTATAACCCACACTGGCAAAAAACGGCGTGGCTCCTCACGGCCAGGTTGTTCCTAGAGAGAGTGTGCAGTGAGCACCACCACGGCCAGAGAGAGGCAGATTGCAGCAGAAAACCTCAATCCAGTGCCCAGGGCTCTCTTACTTTCTACACACTGGGCAGATGACCTTGTCACTGGCATCCAGGCCGTCGAGCATGGCGTTGAGACACTCCTCATCAAACTGCAGGCTCCGCTCGTACTCCTCTGCAGCCAGCTCTTCTGCAAGAGCACAGCAACATCACAGAGGCCTTCAGGTTGGAAGGGACCTC